GAGCCCATCATTTGATGGTGAATGGACTGTGCTCGGCAGTCCAGGCCTTAAAACAAGTCTGAAATATAAAGCTGAGAGTGTCACTGTCAAAGGCCTTTTGGCCTGTTCACCTTAATGAACCTGTTTCAAGTTCCTGAACTGGGCTGGATGCTGTAGCAGACACCTGCTGGGTCAGCTGCTCATGAGACTGAGGCAGGAGGCTGGTGTGAGCTTATTCACCTTGTGAATAGGTAAAGAGGATGTGGCTCAGTTGACACTGCTTTGCTAGCCTGCAGGAAGCACTGGCTTCCATCACCAGCACTGCCTTTACCGGGACTTTATGCTCTCCTGTAATCCCAGAACTGAAGAGGAAGGTAGAGGGTGTGATGAAGGGATCAGCTCAGCTCCCTGGCTGGAGAAGATGGAATCAACAATGAAAGCAGAGTCAGGGAGAGGAAATGTACACATTATAGGGAGATACAGGAACAGGAGGATTGCCATAAGTCTACCTTAGCCTGAGAAAGATGAAGAATCCCTGTCCCAACCAACCAGCAACACTAAGAGCTATAGCCAGGTGTCAAGAACAGTGAATCCTGGAGAATCAGGCAGTGCTGTTCTCCAAGCTGCCACTTCACTCACTGTCAGCATGGGAGCCTCAGGACAGCACCCCAGGTTCAGCGTTGTCCCACTCAGCTCCAGTCAGTGCTAGAAACTAAACTTTAAATATCTAAAATAAAATACTCGAATTGAAACACATTCTAGGTTTAAAAAGCCTGGCAGAGCATTTGCCTTCTGAGTAAACAAAGATCCATTTCTTTTCCTTCTGATTTTCCTGTTTGTTTTGTTGTTGTTGTTTATCCTGGAATTGATGTACCCAGCAAGGAGTCTCAGCTGTCCTTGAATGTCTTTTCCTCCATCTGTCTCTAAAGGGTGGTGGATTGCAGGTGTGTGCTCCTCTGCCCCATTTGTGGAGTTCTGAGAACTTTCATAGGCTTCATGCATGACAAGCCCTGTACCAACTGTGGTGATCCCAGAGCCTTTACTGAGGGGCTTGGACCTCAGAATTGCCATATAAGAACTCTGTAATGATGACCTTATACTAAGAACAGAGAACACTGACTCTGTCTCCAACTCACTTTATGTAATTAACTCACTAGTTTGTTTATTAATGTAATAAACTTTTCAAAAACATAATGCACTTTTTGTTGTTGTTGTTGTTTGATTGGTGTTTTGATCACATTACAGACAGATCCCAGCCTTCCCCTTTCTCTCCTCCCAGTCCTCATGCACACTTTTCCCCATTCTCCTGTCTCCATCTTCTCATAAAAGGGGAGGCCTCTAACTGGTACCAACCCATCCTGACACTTCAAGTCACAGCAGGACTAAGCACATCTTCTTCCACTGAGGCCAGACAAGGAAGCCTGGCCAGCAGAAAGGGATCCAAAAGCAGGCAGCAGAGTCCCAGATAGTTATTATGTTTTTCTTTAAAGAAACTGAACAGGCCAACATGTGCTGAGCCGATGAAAGAACGTGCTGTAAAGCATGATATAAGTTTGATTCCCCAGGACACGTATTTTAGAAAAAAAGAACACATCCACAAAAGCTATTTGAATTTTGTTTTGTTTGTGTTCTTAAGCTGACTGTTATGTAGCTCTTACTGTCCTGGAAACTGCTACGTAGACCAGGCTGACCTCCAATTCACAGAGATTTGCTTGCCTCTGCCTCTGCCTCTGCCTCTTAAGTGCTAGAATTAAAGGCATGAACCAACTTCCTGGCATTATTTGATTTCTAATTATTGGCGGGTGGGCCATTTGCAATGCCACACATGTGGAGGTTAGAGGAAACATTTCAGATATCTGTGTTCTGCCTGGGTTCCAGAAATCAAACTGGAATCTTGAGGCTTGGAGCAAGTGCCTTTAATTCCTGAGCCTTCTTGGGGCTGCTGATGAAGGGAATGCTAAGAGGCCATTTGATGCCCTGGGGTTTCTACTGTTTTCCTCAAGAAAGGCACCGCTGATTTTTGTTTGGAATTTAATGTTATTTGATAGGTTCTCACTGTGTGGATCAGGCTGTCCTGAAACTCACAGAGATCCTCCTGCCTCTGCTTTTGGAATGCAAAATTCAAAGGTATATACCACAGGCTGGGATTACACAGGTGTTTACCGAAAGCTCCTCTTCCCCCAGGCAAGGTTTCACTGCCCTCTGGCTGTCCTGGAAAATTCTCTCTGTAAACCAGGCTGGCCACAAACTCACAGGGATATACCTGCCTCTGCCTCCAAACTACTGGGAGTAAAGGCAAGCACCACTATGCATGGCTAAAGAAAGTTTATATCACTGTGTGGATCAGGCTGACCTGAAACCCACAGAGATCCTGCCTTTGCTTCTGGAAATGAAAGGTGTGCACCACATGCTGGGATTACACAGGTGTGTTAATAAAGCTTCCCTGTTTGTTTGACTTTCATCTCATAATGCTTTGATTCACACTTTGAGAGAAAGTATCCATCTTGGTCATGATGGTTCTAAACTCCTTGATTAAGGCATCATCCCAACAAATCTTGATAGCCTGAACTACAGGTTTTTACTGCCTAGCTCAGCCCTTTCACATCTGCAACATATTCATGTGGGTTTTTCATTTGTTGTTTTGTGTTTGTTTTTTATTTTGTTGTTGTTTTGAGACGAAATCTCACTATGTCACCTTTGACTAACCTAAAACTCACTACTCACTCAAGTACACACACGCAATGAAACCCACACTGAAGCAAACACACATAGACACTAAAACTGCACATACTAAGATACACTCATACATAAATAAGTGCATGTGGATGCGCGTACAAAATGAGTCAGACAAGCAAGCAGAGAAACTTGAATTTTTGTTTGTTTACTTGCTTTACTAGACATGGTTTCTCTAGCTGTAGAACTGGTTGTCCTGGACCTGGCTTTGTTGACTAGGCTGACCTTGAACTCACAGAGACCTGCCTGCCTCTGCCTCCCAAGAGCTGGGATTAAAGACTCCTCCTGGCAAAACCAGCAGAATCTTGACTTTGTAGTTCAGTGCTTTTGATTCCAAACAATCTACAGTATGATTCAATTAACCTAAAGCAGGGAAAGTCAATCTTCATAGGATGAAGTGGGTGGAGACTCATTGGACCAATCAGACAGGAACTTGTGGTAGGGAAGTGGGGCTACATGGGGAGGGGCAAGGAGGAAGGTGTATAAAAGCAGTAGAAAAGCCATGGTAGAACATCAGAGTCCTGGAGCCTGCAGTCACTGCCTGACCTAGCTGGGAACAGGAGCCTTGTGACCAGTGTTCATATCAGGTAAGGCACTCACCTTCATCCAGAGGCCTCCTGCATGCTGGGCTAGCGTTATCTCCATCAAACTACAGTTACATTTCCAATTTAGAATTTTTAAACTTGGTATAATTTGGTTTTAGTGCGAAATGGTCATTACATATGGATGTACATGTTGGTTTTCTTGTGTTATTTAGTTTTTAGGGATGGCTTCATGCACAAAATCCCTAAATGCTAGCTGATATGGGAAACAAGGCTATAAGAGTTTGGTTGCTTCAGCCTTGTCTACTTGATTAAGAGTGTAAAAAATTAACACACACATACACACACAGGTGAGTGCCCACACAAACATGTGTGTGTATGTGACAGAGAGAGAGAAGTGGGAGCCAGATCGCATACAGCAGCCACACCTGGAAACTAGAATTAATGTCCTGAGTACAAAAGATCACATTCCAGGCTAGACTTGGCTGCATGAAGAAACCTTATCTCCACATAAAATTACACAAAATGAAATAGATGACCTGGAAATGTGACTGAATGGTAGGACACTTGTGTAGTGGGAACAAACCCCACTAAGAAAGAACTTTAATAAAGACATTTAAAATCTTACTTTGCTAGATTTTTCCCTGTCCTGTACTAGCCTGAAATACACTATATAGATTAGACAGACCTAGAATCCTCCTGACCCTTCCTCCAAGGAGCTGGGATTATAGGTTTCCATGAGATTGAGTGGCATCTATGCAGTGTTTTAAAGCAGACAATGGTAGCCAGGCATGGGGGTGGGGAACAATCCCAATGCTCCTTTTCATAGCTGGAACATGATGAGTAGGCACAAGTGTGAGTTACAATAATGAGTTTCGTTCAGGTTTGGAAGGGTAACCAATTCCACTGAAGACTCCTTTGCAGCCCATACAATATGTAAAAATGTAAACAAAAACTTATGAATATTGATGGGTTTTCTCATTTCTTTTCTTCCTCTGCACCCCAATTTAACATGGGGAATCCGTCTCCTTGTAGAATCTGTGCCCCTGGCTTCTCATGGAATACTCACATTTTGGACAAGCTCTCACTCAGTAGCATGGCTTTCCAGTTGCTTTGGGGAGAGTTGCATCTCTCACTTTGAATTTGTATTTCAGACATGGTCTGATAGTATAGCCAGGTGGCCATAAATTACAGACCATTAACCCCAGTTCCTTAAATTAATATAATGTAGCCCTGTACTCTCTAACAGGATGAGAAGTAGTGCATGCTGACAGGCTTCTCACAGATTCTCCTCAGTCCTTCGCAGAAGTGATCAGTCTGAGGAAAGGATAAAGCAGGATAAGGGTGAGATGGGCTTGTGACATCAGCACTGTACTTTCTTAAAGGCCTGGAAAGTTATTCAGGGTGTTTTTCCTAGTCTGCTCTGATTGCATGCTTCTGCATAACCATTGCTCTGACTAGGCATGAGATTCAAAGGAGCAGAGGTGGGTACCTGGTGGGACAATGGTTAATGTGTTCCTGTGTGAGCACTACTAAGAGAATCCACATGCTGAGAGTGATGGAAGTTTGGCTTAGAGACCACCAGATTGTATAATTGGGCAGACTCAGTTCTCCGTTATTGCCAGAGCATGGACTCTAGCCCTCAGGTTCTTGTGATGTGTGAGAAATAGGAATTTATAGAACTTAGCCTGAAACCCTGTCTCCTAAATGTTATACCAGGCCTCTGTTGACTGAAAATCTATCAGGATGAGCATGTACATACCTCCCACACTACTGCAGCTGACCATGCAGGGGCTGCTGAAGAATGAAGCCTTGACCATCTCTGCTCTGGACTCCATGCCCATTGAGCTCTTGCCACCACTGTTCAAGGAGGCCTTCGAAGGCAGACTCACAAAGATATTGAAGGCAATGGTGGCAGCCTGGCCCTTCCCCTGCCTCCCTGTGGGGGTACTGATGAAGACCCCTGAAGTGGAGATCTTGCAAGCTGTGCTGGATGGCATAGACATGCTGCTGACTCACAAGCCCCGTCCCAGGTAAGCAAGGTCCAAGGAGGCTAGAAGGGGAATCACTGGGCTGGTGGTAAGACACAGGTGTGGTCAGGGAGAATGGGGTCAAAGTCTCCATTTGACTTTGATGTCATGGAATTGGAGGTCTGTGGAACTAGTATTCAAGTAGAGAGCTGATATAAATGACAGCCAGGAATGGAGGACAGCTCAGAGAAGATGTAGCCATAGTAGGATGAGCTTTTCTCTGTGTGTTCTAGATGTGGAAGAGACGAGTCCACACCAACTGAGTGTGGAAGCAGGGCAGGTCTCCAGATGCAGCTCAGGCAAAGCGTCCTTGCCTGGCAGGTGTGAGGTGCTATATATATAGTGGAGATGACATTAGAATAGTGGACATTAGAATAGAGTGACATTAGAATAGCTGCCTCCAGGTAGATTCCTGGTTTACATTATGAAACTTCACCTTTTCTCCTCACAGAAGGTGGAAGCTTCAAGTGCTGGAATTAAGGAATGTGCACCAGGATTTCTGGGATGTGTGGGCTGGAAGAGAGAATAGAGCCCACTCAGCAGAGACTGGGAGCGAGAAGCAGATAGCAAAGAGCCTTCATAGGTATGCCCAGAGGTGGTATTTGAAGGTGGTCACTGACCTGAGCCTCTGCTTCCATCTGCAAGAACACCAAACATGCTTGTTGCAGTGGGCCCAGCAGAGAAAGGGCTCTGTGCAGCTGTGCTGTGTGAAGATGCAGATCTGTGACTTCCCTGTGGAGACCATCATGGGGGTTTTAGACATTTTCCAGCCACACTACATCGAAGAATTGGAACTATTTACAAACCAGGTCCTTTCCTTCCTGGGTCACTTTGCACCTTGCCTTGGCCAGATGAGAAATCTCCACAGATTCCGTCTACGTCACATCTACTTGAACCCGGACAGAGTTTTAATTACATTTCCAGAATCAGAGGAGAACTGTTTCTCCAAGTTCCTTACTCAGTTCTCCAAACTCCGCTGTCTCCAGCATCTCTCCATGTATGGCATCCGCTTTTCCACTGACAAAATAAAACAGTTGTTCAGGTAAGGCGTGATGGTGAGCTGTTTCTTGGATGACGGGAAGCCTTTCTCCTTACTAGAGCGTTAGTGGGTTTCAGAGGTGTGCCAGCCACAGGGGAATTTACAATCATTCACTCATTTCAGTATCTCAGCGTAGATTGTTTCCTTCTTAACTGAGTTGGAAGGAACTAGGGTCATTTTCCACTCATTTAGCAGAGTTTGAGCTGGGACAGGAGAAGCATAGAGAGCCATTTTGCAAGTATGTCAATTGCACCAGTAGGTCAGTGACAGTGAGCGATCTTTGGGTAATCCTCTTTTGGATCCTGTCTAAGCTAATGGAAGGGAACAGGACAGAGCTGAGGGCCCTGAGCTGGGAGTGGGGGGTGGGGAGGGACTCACACCTGCACAGGTACAGCGGGAGCTCAGTACAAAGATGTGTGAACAGGAACCAGCTTGTTCCTCTCTTGACATCTCTGTCAGCCTCTAGTTCCCCCTGGAGGGAAGGATGATTTGAACACAGTTTGGGACTTCATAGATGGGAATGGGATGACAGTGGGTTGGGGGTCATCAGTTTTCAGGGTGGAACACTGAAATCAGGGGTAGAGGTTGTCCTTGATATCAAGGACAGGGAGAGGAATTCTGGTGGGCACATACCAAGATGTTGGCAGAAGCGTTCGGTGATGTTCCTTTCTGGGTATGCCCTCCTGGCACGAGGTGGCAAGCAGCAGTTCTCTGTTGGACAGCGTGAGGATGGGAAGATGCAGATCTGTGTTCTGAGACCATCCCAGCTGATAGCGCTGTACCGCAGGAGACAATGACACCAATGACTAGACCCCAATAAGCTGTACCTTGAGTGTTGTCCTTCAGCATATGCAATGTGTGACTTTACATAAGTGGTCTCCTCTGTCTCAGTGTCAACTTTAGTAATCTCCTCCAACCCCATGAGCCAGAACTAATTTTCTGTTCTTTCCGTAGATCCCTGATGATCCTGTTGGAGTCCCTGTCTATCACACTCTCCCGTTTCTCACAGTCAGACTTGCAGTTCTTATCACGGTGTCCGGGACTCTGTCAACTGAAGCACCTGCACCTCAGTCACATAGAGTTATCCACGTCACATCCCACAGGTCTCCGAGTCCTCCTAGAGAATGTGGCAGACACTCTGCAGACCCTGGAGTTAGAGCACTGCAGCTTGGAGGACTCTCACCTCAGTGTCCTCCTGCCTGCCCTGAGCCAGTGCTCCGAGCTCACCAGGGTCAATTTCTGTGACAATCTCTTCTCCAGGCCTGCACTGAAGGACCTTTTGCAATGCATGGCCAATCTAAACCAGCTGGCTGTAGAGCTCTACCCTGCCCCCCTAGAGTGCTATGATCACCTGCATAATATCCTCGTGGACAGATTTGTGCAACTGTGTCCTGACCTCCTGGACATAGTCATGGCCAAAAGGCAGCCCAAGAAAATGGCTTTTGTTACAGCCATCTGCCTTGAATGTTGTCAGCGCTGTGTCTATGACATGAAGGCCACACTTTGTCGATGTTGGCAGTGAACAGAAGAAGGCTGCTTCTGGATGCTGAGAAATCAAAGTCAAGGGGAAGGACCTTCAACAAGAATTCCAGAACACGTGGCTTTAGATAGAGTTTGGTGCATTGGAATCAAAATGGTGTTTGACGTATTCAGAGCACAGGAACTGACATGGCATGGGGTCAGGTGTCTTGTGGAATCAGAAAGACAGCTCTGCATATCTAAATATCTCTATCAGGACAGAATCACCAGTGGCTTCCCCATGTTGTATATATATGGTCAATCTATGTACCTTAATGCTTCCCTCTGGTGTGCCACTCAGTCACTGACTTCATTTTTAGGTTCACACTCAGGGTTTCCTGTGACCCCATGACGTATAATCAAAGCAATCATAGTCCAAGACCCGAAGTCACTTATGACATTGTCTTCTCCTCTTTACTTCCCACTGCTTGGCTGCTTGATGCGTCATGTGGACAGTATTATTGAACTGACTGATCAGTGCAGACCTGTTCTCTAGTGAAGACCTGTTTGAAGAATGGCAGAAGATTTCCTTTCAAGGTACTCAGAGAAGAAGTGCTGTGCACATTTTGAAGATGGCTGCAGCAAAAGTTTTCTTCTACCTAGAGAACTGATTGTCCTGAGACCTGGTTGTTAACTGTTCAGTTGTGAGCTATGTCTTTGTTTCGTTAAGAGGGTACCCAAGCCAGGCATTTTATTCCCTTTGTTACTGTATCATGTAGCAACAAAATAATTTTAATTACTCTATTTTCATTGACCTTTAATAAAAATCAAAACCAGCTCTTCTCACACGTCATTGTGATTCCTGCTAACTCCCTACAAAATCACCTCTGGAGAGATGGTGATGGAGAGATGGCCCAGTGGTTAAGAGCACTGGCTATTCCTCCAGAGAAGCCTGGTTCAAGTCCCAGCACCCACATGTCAGCTCACAACTGTTTGTAACTACATTTCCAGGGGTCCAACACTCTCACACAGACATAAATGCAGGGAAAACACCAATGTACATGAAATACAAGGACAATGCATAGAGAAGACCTAAAACCCTGGCTCAGATGTAGCCCATGGACTCGGTCTCCAATTGGGGTCCCTAATGAGGGGAGCAGGAACTTTCTCTGGCATAAACTCAGTGGCTGGCTCTCTGATCACCTACTCCTGGGGCGGGGGGGAGGGGAGAAGGCAGGGGACAGCCTTGCCAGGTTACAGAGGAAGACAATGTAACCAGTCCTGATGAGACCTGATAGGTTAGGGTCAGATGGAAGGGGAGGAGGACCTTCCCCTATCAATGGACTAGGGGAGGGGCATAGGGGGAAAAGAGGGAGGGAGGGTGGGATTGGGAGGAGACGAGGGGGACACATCCAGGATACAAACTGAATAAATTATAATAAATTATAATTTTGAAAAATAAATTAACACGTTTTTAAAAAAGAATGTCACTCCTTAGACCGAACCATCCTTGGGAAGTGATTGATTTGAGCAGAGTGGCATTCCTAAACAAAACCCTGATTACTAATACTTTCTAGAATGGGAGGGAGTAGTTGTTAGAGTTTTATGTTCCATCAACTCTCACAGAGATGGGCTATCATAGGACTTCCTGTGACCACCGGGCGTCTTCTTGCTTTTCCAGAATGGTGCGTATTTTTATCGGTGAAACTGTGGTCCCACAGCACAACTTATTCACAGCAAGCAGAATGCACCCTGTATCTATCCACTGAGGGTTTGACCCTCCTCCAGGTCAGTTCATCCACAGAAAGGCAGAGACACTATAAGCAGGTTCTTCATGCCTCGGTCACAGCTGGGAGACCTCGTCTGCATGTGCTGCCGGTGCTCTTTAAGACAATGGAATGACTTCAGCAACGACGTTCCCTTTGGAGGGGACTCATTCTCCTGCATCTTCTGTTTCATTCACTCTGAGTCCATCTTCAGGCTCTGTTTCCTGATCGCTGTAGCTCTGCCTCAGCAGCTTACAGCACCGCTCTGTTCCTTCCACACACACACCACACTGTTTTAGGCTATGCTGTCCAGATGGTACCCAGCCTAAAGAGACAACTCATCCTGTCTTTCCAGCCTACCAAGTACCTGGGCCACAGGAGTGGTTTTTACCTGAAAATAGGACACCGTAGGAGCTAGAGAAATGACTCAGCAGTTTAGACATAGAAATTAAAATAAATCCTTCTAAAATAAAGTTTGGACACTGAAAAAAGAAATACTGTTTAGCCTTGGACAATCAATTGGTATGTTCTTCCCTAGGGGAAGCCGCCTCTTCTCTTCCCAGCTTTCCAGTCACCTATATCTCTTTGTGTAAGGCTGAGACCTTGTGGGATTTTCTCTGCCATGTTTGGCATGTCCACCATTGTCATCCTTGTTCAGTTCTTGTTAGTTCAGTCATGTTTGTCAGGCTTTATGGGTATAGCTTCTCATGTTACTAGGAGATGCACTCTCACAGCAAAGTCACTGCTCCTCAACGTCTTACAATCATTTTTCCACACCCTCTTCAGCAATATTCCCTGAGCCTTTGGTGTGGGAGTGTTTCGTAGATTTACCCATTGGGACAGAGGTCCACAATTCTTCATCTTTACTGGTTGTGGCTTTCTGTACTGTTGCAAAGAGAAGTTTCCTTGATGTGGGGTAAGGACTACAGTTATCTGTGGGTATAAGGGCAAATAATAGATTGTCATTAGGAATTATGCTGGTTTAGCACATCAGTGATTGTAGAGTCTCCTAAATGGGTAGCTCTGAAAAAACATATGTATGTCTTAATTAGGATTTTATTGATACGAAGCAGCACCAGGACCATGGCAACTCTTATAAGGGAAAGCATTTAATTGTCTTACAGTTTAGAGGTTTAGTCCATTGTCATCATGGTGGGAAGTATGGTGGCATTCAGGCAGACATGGTCCTGAAGAAAGAGCTGAGGGTTCTGCATCTGCATCCACAGGCAGCAGGAAGAGACAGTGAGCTACTAGGCCTGGCTTGAGTTTCTGAAACTTCAAAGCCCACCCCACCCTCGGGTACACACTTTTTTCAACAAGGCCACACCTACTCCAACAAGGCCACACCTCCAATAATACCATTCCCTGTTAGCCTATGGGGGCCATTTTTATTCAGACAACCACAATGTAAATATCATTATACAGACTAAATGTTATGTTGGGCAGGCAGTTCAAATGGCCTGCCCTCAGGAGCCTTAGGGTCCTGACAATGTCCTGTTTGTCACCACCTACCTCCTATGTCATCACCTGGGCCAGGTGCTCCTGATATAACCCATCTGCCACTCCTACCTGTTCTCTCTCTCTCTTTCGCTCTCTCCCTCTTTCTCTTTCTGCTTTGGTTTCTTTCTCCTTCCCTCCTCTCTGAGTTTTCTCTCTGGGGTGTGGGGGAGGGGAGGCCCACCATGCTCCTCTTCTCCTCTAATTCCTCTCTCCTTTCCTTCCCCCAAATAAATCTCTTCACATCTAAATCTGTTGAGTGGGTGGCATTTTTAAGTATAACCTAACATGGCTGTCTCTTACAGGTAGGGCTCTTCTGGAATCCCTCTTGACACACTGTCTACAACAGATCTTTCTCCCGCCCACACCATCCCTGCCCCCATCTCCTATACCTTTCAAGGTTGCTTGCACCTGTTCCTGCCTGCATACCTGCCTGCTGCTGTGGGACACTGGGCCACTCCCTCCCCCCACCACCAGCGCTTTGGCATGGTTCAGGACCTGCTATGAATGCTGCATCTTGGAGCCAGAGGGGGAGGAGATGGAAGGATGCTTGAGTACCTGCACTAGTGGGTCAAAACCAACAAACCATACCTTCCGCTCCAGCAGCTCCTAAAATTTGTCTGTTATCTTAAATTCTACTCTTCTTTCCCTCCTCCACTCCCGCAGCTGGTCCGAAAGAGTCCAGGAACGCTTTCTTAACACTGGCTCTCAAAATCTTTGATCTCTAAGGCCCTACTTCCCAGCTTTTAAACACCTTTTCTCGATTTCTGCACACTCTGCTCTTAAAAAAAATATATTTTAAAATTATGCTGTAAATTCTTAATATACCAATTTATACAATTTATTCATTGGGTTTCCATCTATATGGCTTACACCCTGCCACGTGACTACAGCATCTTAAGATGACCACATGGTATAAAACAACAATTTTAAAACTTTTAAGTCATAACTAATCCTGTTTATGTCCTTTTACATTAACAAAGCAATAAGTCTCATTTTAAATTGATATGGATTTTTATACAAATTCAAAGTTATATTTTTCAATGATTTTTTTATTATTTTTATTACTTACAGTTTATTCCCTTTGTATCCCACCTGTAGTTCCCTCCCTCCTCTCCTCCCTCCTTCTTCCCCACCCATGTCCCTCCCCTAGTCCACTGGTAGTGGAGGTTCTCCTCCCCTTCCATCTGATCCTAGTCTCTCAGGTCTCATCAGGACTGGCTGCATTGTCTTCCTCTGTGGCCTGGTAAGGCTGCACCCCCCTGAGGGGGAGGTGATCAAAGAGCAGGCCACAAAGTTATATTTTTTACAACATGCTGTATATATGATTCAATCCTGGTTCAAAATAATTTTTATATGATGCTGAAATTTCAAAGTTCTAAAGGTCTATTCATATTCACAAGCTAATTTAAAATGTTTGTCTACCTGCCTATGTCTTTACCCGTTCTGAAATAAATGAATGAATACTGTTTCTCCTGCCACTGGCTGCCTGCAAACTGGATTCACCACAGGCTTTCTGGCTAATAGATCTTTGTATAATAAATTCAAATGTAATTTAAAATTTTTTTTTCATGCTGTTCTACTCTATTGCTGATTCTAAAACTCATAACTCAGGGTTACTACGTAAAAATTTTTGACTAGATAACCTTAAACTATATGATATGGTTTCAAGGATACTCTACATTGAAATCTGTTAATTTTAGAGACATTCATTTGTTTACAACGTTAAAGCTTGGTTGTTATGCTTTATTTTCACACTCAAAATGGTTAAAATCTATAGTATATCCTTAGACTTTTATAA